AAGAATCTCATAATCGACATCATTGAGCCAAAAAACAAGAAGCATCCGCTTTTCTCAAAATCCATGGATTCACCATAACTCAGGTCCACTTTGCAACATCGGTATCCTTGTTCGGTCCTCGGTTCCGTTGAGGACAGGTATGGACAGGTGGCTTATATACCAAATGACACAGGTGGATCATAGAGACGCAGCTGGGTCACCAAAACTTTGTTACCTCTGCATCTCCGGCAAAAAAATTCGATGAAGTCTATTTTGCCACCCTCCAGGAACTCCAAGTTGGTTTGCCACTTGAGCAGAAGAACCTAACTAAAAGAAACGAAGCTGGCCACAGCACGCAAGGTTCTCATGGGAAAGGCCCGGGCCATTGCAATCAGAACCTGGGCTCCAGTTGAGTCATGCAATAGCTCTATCAAGGATGACTCCAGCAACTTAATGATATGCGTTAACTAGATCGAGTCACTTTTGGAGCTTGGACTTGAAGTAGGCGAACAACCATGGATGATTCCATGGCTGCAACCCAACCACCTAACTGGAACCCAAAGTGCTTTACGAGAAGCATGCCTTGCAAAAAAGCTGCATGCATCTTAAAGATCACGACATCCGACATCACCCCAGCACCCGCACCACGAAGCCCGATGCCAGGCCTTCTGAATCACAACGGGTGAGCCACGCGTCGATGGCAGGCATATCCGCCTGGTCATGGGATCACTGCGGTGGAGAACAAGTCAGTGGAGAGAGTGCTACCAAGAGAGGTCAAGAGGACACACAATTGATGCGGTGGAAAACAGTTTCGTGTCCTCTTGACCTCTCCTGGTAGGTGTTTTTGATAGATCAAGCTGCATGTTTATTATACAATACAGAGTCACCATGCGAGCTGCAGCAAGCATTTTACCAATTTCCAGCTAGGATCTTGATCTGGATACGATCACCCAGCGACGGCGTTCCCAATTTCTGCAATTAATGCCCCAAATACCCTGTGGCCAGGACCACAGAGTGAAAACACGTTGCAGGTGTACAGCTTTCAGCTGTATGCCCCTTGCTGAAAAATGTGCAAATGCACAAGCCCTGTAAACCATCACTTCGTTGCTGCGTATGCCTCAGTTACCCAGGAACAGAGTAATGTTTGATCACCACAACTGTTTCTATGTTGCAACCAATGAACTTCCTTTGCCCTTTTTCTGGCTTCAATCTCCCCATGAAGCTCAAGGTTCTGCTTGTAGGCTTTGCCATAGGCGCAGCACTTGCGGCTGCGCAAGGCTGCTGCTGCTGCTTTAGCGGGGTCTGTGCTCTTGACTGTTCTGTTGGGTTTTGCCTTTCCTTTCTTGGCATCACCTTCCTGTTCCTTGCCCTTTGCCTCCTCTGATTCTTTCTCCTCCCCAGCTTCTTCCTCCTTCTCCTTTTTTGCCTTTCGCGCCCTCTTAGGCTTAATCTCCTGATCTTCCTCCCCAGCTTCTTCCTCCTT